TTGTGGGTCCATGACATTCTCCTTTACTAGCGTTCAGGCTTGCAAATATCAGTGTCTCAGGGTTTGCAGTCAGATCCCTGCAGTAAACAAAACAGTTTAAACAGAACAATGATTTTTTTTTTTTTTTTGGCATAGTCCTGATAGTTCATTCAGCAGAAACTAGAGTACTTGTCTCAAGCACCTACTTCACATTAGCTTCCATCAGAAAAGGTGTGCCAGTCACTTCTTGAATCCACAGCAGCAGCAGGGCTGTAAGAGTACCAGGAGGCAAACGTGCTTGGACCACAAAATGGTAGGATGGCAGCTTCCCCTCCCCTGCCACTGGAAGCCTGTGCTTGGTGTCCTGCAGATAAATGTGAGCTCTCCTGTGGTTGGGGGAGCTTTCCCTCCAGGAGCTACCCCAGGCTGTGGGCATGTGCACAAAGTGGGGGGGGAAAGAGAGCGGATTGGATTTAGGGTGAGTATTGGTGCTCTGCAGCTATTGTCTGTGTGCTGGCACCCCCCAGCAGTGGGTGTAAGTGAGTGTGCCCTAGCTTTTGAAGGCTAAGCTGCCTCGTCCTTACTATAAGTAAAGAACATGCAGACAGATTGCTCGTATGATGTTGCTGGTTGGCTCTGAAACCATGTCATGTCAGCCTTGCTGAGAATTGTTTATACAGCCTTTCTTAAGGGTTTTTGTTCCTATTGATTCCTGTAGTTAAAATACATGAGCACTTGCTCTTAACTTTACTAGCCATACTGAAGTGTCTAAAGGATATTGCAATGTGTTTGACCTACCTGTCTTTGGAGTGATCTGTGCTTGGGGTAGAAGTTCATGCAATCTTGCATCATATTGGTTTCTTTTTGAAGAACTATTAAAATTGCGTTGGGTGTGGATGTCATGCAAAGTGGGAAAAGGACTTAATAAAATTTTTCTAGCCCAAGGAGTGGGGAGAGTAAAGTTTTTGTCTTTAAAATACAGGTAAATCGGAGAAGGTGAAAGAGACAACTTGGTGAAAAAAATGAATAGCTGGTGAAGGAGAGAGAGATGAAATAAGTAAGACTGAAGAACTTATATCTTCTAACGTTTTTCCACACTTCTGCAAATATCAAGCTTGTGTTGCTTTTATTGCTTTGCTAACAGTGCTATTGAAGGATTAGCCTTTCACCTTGGGTCCTTTTTCTTCATTTTCTTTAAATTTGATCAACCTTTAGCTGGCAGTGGTGGTTCCCCTTAGGCCTGTGGGATGCCCAAGTTTTTACAGTGCAGTAGTAGTGTCAGGGATATGGCTCTAGCAAAGTTTAAGAGCATTCTTCAAGCTAATCCTTAGTTTCTCATGCTACTGGCAAATATGTAATGTGGGTTATAGTCTCCAGTTGCTGTGAATATCTTCCTGATCATTTTCAATTTGAATATATTCTTCTTTGGCACTGATTCTTCCCTTCCGCCCCCCCCCGCCTTGCTCCCCCTTTGCTTCCTCCATCATTCATTTATTCATTTCCTTTTCTCTCTTATATTTTCATTTCCAGTCAGGCATGTATTCTAAAGTACTGGGTTATATTTAGAAGGTACTGTACCTCTGGAATAAGAAATCTCATTATGCTTATGGGATATTATCCTATTTCAACTCACTTGTGTATAACTTGTCCTAGGCTTGCATAATGCCTAATATAATGGCATAAGGTTATTTCTTTCAGTGTTTAGATTGTTAGGCGTAGTGCTCTCTCATTTCAAATCCTTACTGAATAAAGTACCAGTGTTTTATTTATGTCCATCTGCCTTTGCTGTAGCACACACAGAAGCAGACAGCTATGTGGTAAAGAATGATGTAGAACAGTAGCTGGAAAGCACTCCTGGGTATTCTCTGCTGCTTCTGGCACCAGAACTTCAAGCCCTGCCAGGTCCTCAGAAGGATGATGTTAATTTGACTTGCTCAGATTTGGGATTCTCTGAGGCCTGAAAGGGTATTTGTTTTTCCGTACCTCAGATCTGATTTTTGTAGGGGAATATTGTTGACCAGTGACACTGAATTAGGTAGGGGAAATGTTTCCTCTGCTCTGACACCGGTGAAAAAAGGTTTATTTGTGAGCAGAATCATTCCTGTTATAGGTATCGTGCAGCAGAGCTTCTGCAGCACTCGCTGCCTCCTCTGGTGTGCAGAGGGAAGACTGCTCAGAGCCAGGGTGGGTCGATGTGGGAGGAAGCCAACGTAGTTAACTGCAGGAAAGCTGGAAGGGTGTGATTGGAAACATGAAGAATGTGGGGTTTTTTCCTGTTGAATTCCATGGAAGTATGAGACAGTCTTGGCTGGTGGCTTTTCTAGAAGTGCAGTTGCAGTGGGCCTATGCTGATGGTGCCAAGGCACTGTTAGGAACAGCCAAAGTTGGAGATGGAGACTTGACACACCTTGGGTTAACGGTAGGAAAGTCCCTGTGCTTTTCATATGGGAAACTCTCCTGAACAGTAATATCTACCATAAAACCTAATTGTTGAGGTAAAGGAAGGAGGGGATTTCATTATCTGAAAACTGACTGGTATTGGGACCAAGGCTGTAGGTTAAACTAACATTTGCTGAGTAAATTTGGATCAACTGGAGAATTTTCAGGTTCTGAAAGACTGTTTATAAAATAAAAATGTTGACAAGTCTTTTATGGTTCATTGAGCAGGACTCATGTCTGTTGGGATTATATTGCCAGAGATGAGCTTGCTTGTGTTAAGTTATTTAAAATGCTCGGAACTTAGCAGAAGGTTTGCTTTAAGATGTTGAAAAGGACTATTTTCTGTTTTGCTAGAAGGAAGTAGGGAAAAACAACTTTGTCTTTAGTAGTAGTTGTTTCCAGTCTCTAAAGTTGGGTATTCAGGATATTTTCATTGTTCTCTGAAGTCCATAATTAATATTTGAATCCCAAGAATTCTCAATCTCTGAAAAAAAGAATTTGAAAGCACATATGTAATGCTCATGTGCATCTGAAATAGTTATGTATATTGCTGCATTTATATCGTACCCAAATGTACAGAGCAATTGGGGTGTTACAGACTCAGCATTACTTGATGGCTGATAGCAAAATACAGACCAACTTTGAAAAGGAAAGACAGACCTATTGCACAGACTATCCTCATCCTAGCAAGGCACATAAGTTGCTAGGTAGAAAGGGTATGAACTGCTCTCATGGCTTCAATGCAATTAGTTTAGTGGCTTAAATTATGCACAGGGTTAATCTGTTTGCTGAGGATAGTCCTAAAGTGGTTACAATTGAAAAGTTTGAGCTTTAAACACAGCAATATAAATGTGTGCTTCCAATGGACCCACATTTGGTGAGGTTACCAGATGTTGCACTTCTCTGTGAAAGTTATCATAGCGACCTGATATTTTTAGTACAGTGTCTTTTTGGACTGGCTCTGCTGTATAGCGAGGATTCACTCTGCTGCTTCCAACCTTAGCCAAACACTCTCTGCATTTCAGTATGAAACTTCGGTTATTACTTCTGAAACCTGAAAGGCTTAGCAATATTGCAGATTTCCATCTTTCCTAACATTTTGGCCTTCATACTGAGTATGCAGTCACTACATTTTGACAATGTATTTTACATTTCATTTTCCAAGCAGTGTTTTATTAGATTAACTCAGATAGGAAGAATAGCCTCACATTTATCATGAGTGACTTGCACATTCAGTCAAACACTCTGTGATATTGAGTAGTTTAAATCTCCAGCGTATGAACAGTAAATGAACATTAAAGGCCTCTCTTAACATCCATTACTCTGTTTAAACAGTTGCACAGAATTACTAGTTGCCAGTAATCTCTCCTTGAATACAAAAATATCATCTGTTCTAATGTTGTTTTAACTCTCTTGATTTGCATGTCATGAAAAGAATATCTTAAAATTAGGAAATGGCAAGGCTGAATAGTGTAATGGATAATTGAGACTTACTGCCATTTAGCAGAAGTTTCAGGTTTGCTTGCAGCTCAAATTACTAATTTTCCTAAAAGCCAATGATACTTTGATTGCTGACCGTGGTCCCAGAGGCTAAATACCCATCCTACTGGGACCACTGATTCAGCCTCTTGACAGTCCTAGCATAAAAATCTGACCTGTGAAGATGTGAAGTATGCACTCTTCTGTTGCGAGAGATGACTTTCTTTACTGAGTAAAGTAGCCCTTTAAGGCATCCAGGCAGAACAGTGTGGAGAGTATTCACTACAGACTTTTTTGATAAACAGAAAATTTCAGACCCCAGAGCTCTCCATTTATCACATTGCACAAGTGTGAGAAATTTGGACATAGGCACAATAAATAAATCAGTAAAAACCCCACAGAGTATGCTGCAGGATGCATTTCAGAGTAGAATCTAAGAGCAGAACTGTCGGTGAAGAGCTTGTCATTTCCAGTTCACGTAGCAGTTGTGAAAAACAGCTTTGCATCTTCATAATACTGCAGCAGTGTAAGGACTGGGATCTGTGCTTCCTAAGGAGCTTAGGAAGCCTGGTGACATGCACTCAATACTTCTGAAGATTGAAATCGGAAACTCTGGCTACTGATACCAGGACTGTGTTAGCACCCATCCATGATAATGCCTTCTCGCTGTGTTGCCACATGGTCACCTCACTGCGGTATGTCTCTACCTGCTTATCCTGCCTCCTGCTATCTTTGCTGTCTCACACTGCGTGCTGTAGGGCACACAGTAGTAGGCCATAAAACCATACTATTTCATCCATTCTCCACCCCTTCTTGCAATGGGCTGTTAGCCTTTTCCCACCTCATGCAGCTAAACAAGGCAAAGCAGGGAGTTGGAAATTCATTAGTTCTTCTCAGAACTTGTTATCATGCCTGAATATTATTTGTTTTAAACCACACGGGGATTAAGATCCTTTGAAGTTCCTTGATCAGTGTTCAGGAGAAAATAAAGTACCAGTTTAAACTTCTGATCTTTCGTAATAGTGTATAGAAAGCCGGTGTTCAAATTTAAGCTTAAAATGACTAAAACTTGATTATATTTAAGTTTGTATTTCAGCTTCCATCTGTGGTGAAATCAAGACCTATTCATCTCTATGATCATTCATAGAGATGGCTTGATTTTTATTCTTATAGATCACAAATTTCTTGCTTGCTCATTGTCTTTGTATAGTCAGAATGACCTTATTTAAAAAATCCTTGTGGTTTAACTTAGTAGGAAGATTATTGTGCATGGTTAGTTGAAACTTCTGTGCTGAGAAGAGTTATGTCCTCTAACAACAAAAGCCTGGCTCTATCCCTGTATTTGCCCTAAGCTGATCTGTGCTAATGCTTGGTGACAGTAGATGGCAGCTAGCTGTATGTATGTTTGACCAGTTGCCTATTCAGTTACTGTCTTTATGCAGACACAGTTAATACTTTCATACCTAAACTCTCCTCTTGGTGTTTTTTTTTTTTAACAGCTAACCACCACTGTCCTCATTGCTAGTGTGATATTGAGTGCCCAGCATAAACAGAGATGGACAAATTTATCCTTGGAGCAGCCAGTCTTAGGATACAGCTATTTTGCAGAAATATTTGATTAGAAACAGCTCACTCTCCTTGAACAATAAAAAATGAAACAGTCAACTTCTTGAATCAAAGCATACATTTAGAATGGTCTTGCGAAACAACAAAGCTTTTCCCAGCACATAAGCTTGGGGTGCTGTGATGCTGAAATGGCAAACGCATTATGGGATAACTGCTGTCTAAAGTGGTCGTGCCCATTCAGTGCAGCAATAAAACGGTGTCTGTTGTTGATTTCCTAGACTTCGATGCCTCCTACTAGCAACGTTCAGTTTGTGGCAGCCTGGTGCAACCCTATATGGACTAAGCTATAAGGTGCATTTAGAAAGCAAATATATACTGTGAGCATGAAGGAGCTTGATCTATCAGGACTGGGGTGCTGCAATGCATGTTTTGAGTATTTTTAGATCACATACTCATTGGATAAAGAATCTTCTGCAGCTTCCTTATAAATGTAATAACTACTGGAGGAGTAGCTCTCTGTGGATCTGTTCAGGACTAGCTTTATAAAAAGTGCTGTAATCATGTGAGCATGAATATGTTTGGAAGCTGTTTCTCTCCATTCCAGCTGACTAATGATTGTAAGCAACATTCAAAGGCCTATGTACACGTGAGGGGCATGGTACAGTCAAGTGCTGAGACAACACATGACTTAATGGATTTACAGTGGGCTATGGCAGTGCCCTACACCTTTTTATTAAAAACTGCTGTAGTCAGAAAACCTGCATATTGTTGTAGGTGTATGGATGATGGTAAACTCTTTCCTGGGGAAGCAGGCACTTAATTGGTAAAACCTAAGTTTTCTTTGATTTTTGTGCTTAGTACACTTTCTAATCTCTTGTTCACATAGTAGTATCTTCTATTTCTTTGTTTTAGTCTTATTTCTTGTTATTAACATAATGCTGTTCATGCCATTGAATTCATCTGTGGTTGACCTGCAGTTTGCTCAAGCTGGAGTTTGTACCCTCCTAATCCCAGGTCTCCTTCATTAATATCTTCCTTGCCTGTAGCCTGGGTGGAGCCTGTTCTGTCCTGCGCTGAGATGGGTATGTGAGCAGACGATTCATAGTTTGCAGTCAATTCATCATTATTTATGATATAATCTGTGCCATCATCCTTCAGTTGGTCCTGTATTCAAACAAAGAAAATGATCAGTAGAAGGGAGACTCTTGAGGAGCATTTTTGTTAAAGCTTAAATGAAGAACACGGGTGATGTAATTCCACTTTCACTTTATTTCATTATTTGCTTATTTTTTCGGCTGTTAATTTACTATCTTGACGTTGATTAAAGCAAATAGTTGCTTACCATGTTCTGCTCTCAAGCAGTGTTGAGAAACATCACCTATCCTTCAGTTCTTTAAGATAATTCCAGTGTTTAAATAGGATAGCCAATACTTTCAGCATCTGGCTGAATTATTTAGAACATGTCACTCATATCTGAAGCTCATAGTATTAGTGACCGTTCTTGAAAATGTAGCACTGCTGAGACCTCTTCTCCACATCCCTGAAGATTTCTTTCTATATAATTCTTAGCCTTAAAAGTAATAAGCTATGGAAAAGGGACTTTACCAAAGTGTTGCATTGAGTATGGCAGGTTTTGGCTTACACCTTAAATATAGTTAACCAAGCTAGGTACTTACGCCGTATGCACTGGGGCTGGTCAGAAGCCTGGCAACAGGATTACACCATTCAGGTAATGTTGTTGTGAGAGGTGGACCGGTGTGGGTTAAGATAGGTTTTAGGTATCTGTGGAATTTGTTAAAGAATATTTCCCATACAGATATTGATACTAACGTGCTTCTCTATTATACAAAGAAATTTAATTTTAAAGCATAAGGTAATCGTGTAACTGAATGGAAACATAGAAAATACAATCTCTTTTTGCACCCATTACTGCATATGTTCACCTGTCTTCAGTCTTGTCTAATGTTTTTCAGTAACAATAACCATCCCCCCAAAACCCAAACCACTTGATGCTCAAAATCTGTCTTGAAGGGTACCAGAATGGCTGAAGGGGATATGTTGTGATATTCATAAATGCAGCAGGAGCTGGAAGAAAGGAAATGTGTACTAAATTATCCTGTTTACTATTCTCATCTACTGTTTGCTGTATGATCTTATGCAATTTTAACAGGAAACAATTTAAGATGCAACTGTATCCGCTACTTTATGTAAGAACAGTAGTGAACATTTTCTTAAACACATATACTCAGCCTTTTGTAAAATCAGTGCATTTCTTCAACAGGCAAAGTATATTTCATCAAATATTACTTTTCTTTATCGTTGGGAGTGTACATAAGTTGTTCTCTGTAATATTTTATTTTCAGCATGCAATACGTTTGTTTTACACTTCATACATCAATGCTTCTTTCTATAAAATTATGTGAATAAATTAGGAACAGGCTTTATACTGTTGTCTCGCACCTGTCTTTCCAATCTTTTCATCCAAAAGTGCTTTATAGAGATAAAAGAAAAACCTGCTCATCTTGAGCAATTATATCATCCTCGTATCTGTCGATAACAGCTCTCCCACGAGTCCCTCAGGTTGACTTATCTTCCCTGCTACTTTTACTCTCAAAGTAATTTTTGGTGTTCTTTGGAAAGCAGGTCTGTCAGCTATTTTTTTTTCTGCTAGGGAAAATTTGCTTTATTGATTGTCATCCTGCTTTATCCCCCCTGCTCCTTCCTCTCTTTCTTGCTTGTGCTTTCTCCCTCACTCTTTCTCTCTGCCTCCTTAAAAAAGAAAGGAACAAATGTAAGACTGAGTAGTGATTTGAGCTCTGCAGCAATATTGTAGAAACACTGAGTAACAGTGGGTCTTAAACCTAACCATTCCTTTTCTTTCATTATTGGTTGTTTATGGTATCACTGCTTTACACACAAAGTACAAATTCTGTATCCTGAAGAAACTGTTATGTAAAACACCCTTATGATCTTGGTTAATCTCAGTTACAGATTGAAAGGCTAAATAACTGGCTCTGCTGTCCTCTATGCTACAGCTGTGGAAGTTGTTCTATAGTATCTGGGGTTTTTGTTTGTGTATTTGTATCTTTTAAAAACTAAATTGCATCTGTCAGACTATGTGATTCCTTCATCCAAGGTCATATACTGAGTCAGTGTGAAAAATTGAGTCAACTCCAGAAAAGATTGTAAGATTTTAATATAAATTCTTACCAAAACCATGATCAAGGTGGGAATCTCATGAGATCAAATTGTGTAGGGAAACTTCCGATCCTCTTGCTTCTGTAAGAGTAAAATCAAACCAAACAATCCTTTCTGATCTTATTTGAAACCTCCACAGTGCCAAGCAGTTAAGAGCTATTATCAAAATCAGTGTATGAAAACCATCCATTAGAGTTGTTTTGTTTTCAGCACTTCAGAAAAACCTAATTAAAAGGCCAAAACCAGAAGTAGGAGTCTAATCTTTGGAAATATGGGCTTTGTTAGTACAAACAACTTGAATTGTTTGAACTGAGTTGTCAGACCTAGTATGAAAAATACAGGCTTGTAATGGAAGTTGCATTTGATTATATTGACTTCTGCCAACTCTGTTCTTTTATTCTCTTCCAGAATAAGTAATTGAAGATGGATATTATTCTACATTTCCTCCTTAATCTGATGATCTCTGAGCTAGGCATTACTTCTAAGGAGCCTTATAACTTTGTAATGAACTTTTTATACCTCAGTAAAAATTTGAGTCCTGTTTTCCCCCATGCTTGCATGAAGCCCAGCACCACATCAGATAGGAATAGGGGGTGCACACTGAAACAGGGTATCTACTTGGCTGCCACAGTAGTCTTGCAGTCCTTTGAGCCACCACCACTCTGCAGCATAAACTTTGTGTCTAGTGTGTTTAACTGGTTGCTGTGTGTGTACACTGATGCTTTTGAGTGGCTTAATTTTCGGCTGCAACAGGTCTTCTAAGTTCCCTTCCTTTTGCATTTGCTCTAATGCTTTCATTGTGTATTGTCCATGCTTCTGCTTTGAAGTCTCTTGAGATGCAGTTTAAAGTGAAGACAATTTTCTTGTGCTTCTTGTGATGCTTCTGATTCTATAATAAATTATTTATCTCTTTGTTACTTACTTAACTGGTTATTATTCATCCCACTAAAGGAACTTAAATTGTGCTGGCCTATTTTTCATTGTTTTAATAACCTATGCCATAAATGTTTCCTCTTTATTGTTGACACAGTTGCTCTGTAATATTGCAGATATAATCACATCGTTCAGTGCAGCATGAAAGAGGAATTCTAATCCATGTGCAGTGCTGGCATTTCAAAAGTGTATCAGACATGGGTCTACAGCATTTTAAGGCTGGCAAGAAGTCTTATCACACTCCAGCTGCTCTGGTTGCATCTCCCAGCACCTCCAGGGAGAAATAATTTAAATAGTGTAATAGAAAAAGGTAGATTTTGCACTAAGGCTGCTTTAAAAATTGGAAGAAACTAAGTGTAATGCCTAATTCAGGGATGAGGAAAAGATTGCAGGAAAATATTCTAGCAATCAATACACTTCTAGATTTGCATTTCAGACCTCCATGGGCAGAACAGCCCACCTGCATGTCTCAGATTCTACACTATAAAATATACTGTGTTAAAGAATGTTATTGTTAAGCTTCTAAGTTGGGAAGCTGAATTCAGGATGCCTATGTATGCACATGTATAGAATTTTAATCCATATATAGTGTTGGCATGTTAGCATGCCTTACTTTCATAATCAAATAGCAATTTTTCCATTGATTTCCCCACGTCTCCAGGCTTCCACTCTCCTGGGTCACCTTCTTGCTATTTGAACATCCCTTTGCTCAGGAAGTTCCAGTCTTCCCTTGCCATTAGCTAGGCAAAGTTCCTCCCCCTCCTCGTCTCACTGACACCAGGCTCAACATCTAAATCTGTTTATTCCTTCCTGGTTCAGCTTCTATCTTCTCTGAGCTTGACTCGTATGATGTCCTCTTCTGTACTGCCTAGCAATAAGCAAAGAAGGCAATGCCATTGGAAGCAAGACAGTCGGCAAGTGTCTGAACAAAGTTGAATCACAGGCAGGTTGTTTGTTGGGGCTGATGAGGATGAGCAACTCCAACAGAGGCTGTGTGAGAGTACAGGGTGCTCAGTAGCAACAGGACTGTCAGAATTTAGCTCTTGAAATTGAAGACGGGGGTGTGTGTGTAGTGGGTTTTTTTAAGTGTGTGATCTATTTTAGGCTGGAGTTTTGAAGAAATGGCATCTCCAGGGTGGAAAAAGAGGTCTTTAAGTACAGTGCATTTAAAAATAATCTCACAAGAATTTATTAGGAATAAACCTGTGGAACTGTGTGATTTCCCCCACCCCCCAAAAAATATTATGCCTGAAACAAACATGTATTAAGGAAATTTTCCTCCTATATACCTATTGCTTCACAAAAATACAGGTAACCCGAACCAGACTTTTCAAGTGAGAAGTCTCAGGTAATCTTTGAGAAACACTACTGCCACTACTCATATTGTAGAACACTTAGGTTTCCCAGCAAATTCTGAGATTTCAAAATAGATTTTGTGTTGTATCAGGATAAAGAATCAGAATCTCAATTTCTGTTCTTTCAGCTAATAAGTATCAAATTACCATGTTAAATTGGCATGTTCTGTCCAAATTTTGAGAACGTTAGTAAAAATTGCTATTTATCTCTCTGGTAAAATGGCATAAGCATGTTCAAATAGGGAAAAATATCCTGACAGAAATGCTGTGGCTGTTTTGACTCAGACTTGGAGAAGGTTCACTCCTGTTGGAGGAACAGAATCCTAGTCCAACTGTGGCTCTGCTGAAAAGCATAATAGTAAAAGAAATAACTTGTAGGTTGGGGGGGAGGGGGTGGGGCATGAACAAAACCCAACAACCACAAACCAACCACAACAACAAAAAAAACCCCAAGACCAAACACTCCCCTCAACTCTCCAACAAAGCAGATGTGGCTGCAGTTAGAAATACATATGGCAGCTCTGCTTTAGCTCTGGAAAGCCCTGCTTTTGGCCCAGAGGGTGTTTTGCTTTTTGCCTCATCGCATAATGGGGGCTCTGTAACTCAAGGAAATCCCACCCTCCCCAAAGGTAAATATGGTCATGCTATAATAGTTACTATTAAAAAGCCCCAAAGAACAGGAATTCTTTTGCTATATGTAATTTTGACTAATAGCACTTTTTTCCAGAGACTATTTTCCTATATCAGACTGTGCTATAAATACACGTTTGTTAAATGTGGTGTTTAATATTCTATTGCTAGGTGCTATGTTTCTGCTGTAGGCATAAGTCTCTAGAGGTAAATGGCACCACTCCCAGAATCCATCCATTATGCAATGTTTTTAAGGTTGAGGTTTGCAGGCTTTTATTTTAAGGTGTCCCTTTTGTGAATATTTTTATTTAAGTCTGAGTTTGTAAATTAGCTATGTAATGAGTTTAATTTTACTCTATATTGTATTTATGGAAAAACATGCAGAAGAAAGGTATCAAAAAAAAAGGTGTTACTTCTGTTCATTTAATATTTTCTGTGGTAAGGACAAACGATGTTTTGTTCCTTATTAGAGGGCTTTTTTTGAGAGAGAGAGAGAGAGAATTATTTTGATATTAGCTACGTGATAACCTAAAGAGCAAACATTTCCATTTTGATAGTGTTTGAGTGGGAGCAGGCAAGCTATGAAACTTTGATTATCTGGCTAAGTTCTGCACGTGGCTGACTCCTGCTAACAGCTGACTGAGATTATTTGGTTACTTTATACAA